TCTCGACTGCGAGCCTTGCCTCCGGACATCCGGACTCTTTCACGCTTTGCCTCGGTTTGCGAACCAGGCTCTGTTTGCTCTTCCCGAAGGAAGGGAGAGGTCTCGTAGATCATCTCTCAGTGGCCGTAGGTTACGTTTCGTGGTCATAGGCCATTTTGCCCGTTTGGAGTTCGGTTTCTGGTTTTTTGGAGCCTTTGGCCGTGTGCCTCGGTTCGGGACCGCTTAACCACCTCCGTTTGCTCCGTTTTTTTGGCATGCATCTTATTTACTCCCTTTTGAAGGACACTGCGGTCCGAAAAACCAACTTCATGGTCGAACACCACTTCTGGTGCCTAACAGTCAGTTTTCGGGGCCTCGAGCTGCGCGTTTCGACCCCCGAACCTCCATTTTGCATCGGTTTGAGTTCATTTTTGGCAGGGACCTCTGTTTCATTGTTAGGAAGGTCGTAGAAGGGTGGGAGGCCAGCAATTGTTCTGACGACCATGTTTTATTCCTCTATCGCCCTCCGTCGCCCGTTTTTCCCACTTGAAAGCCAATGTTGACCACCCTAAGGCCACTTTTTCTTGCCCCAAACCACATATTTGTGTTGTACACACCTGGGAGGCCACCAATATCATATGGCTGGCCAGTAATTGTGTGTGACCCTTTTGAACCTCTCCTAAAAGTGGCCTTTTCTCTCTCCTGGTTCATTTTCTCCAGTTTTTGACCACATGGTTGTGTTGTGCACACATGAGAGGCCCTCTTTTTGGCATGGCCGGCCATTAACCTTCATTGACCCTTTTGACCCTTAGCCGACCGGCCATGGGGAAGGCCGACTGGCCACCTAAACCCTAAGAAACCGGCTGGCCATGATCCTCTCTCCAGGTAGTTTACAGAAATGCCCTATGTTTCCCCCCAGATTTTGTATCCGGGGGGGCCAACTTTTGCGGGGAAACTTGAATTCCATTCCCCCCCTTTTTCCCCCCTCTTTTGCCTATATATCTGGGGCCTCCAGCTCCCATTTGGAGGGTTAGAAATTTTGGTTTGGAGCTCCTACATTGTATCTCTCTCTCTCTACACTCCAACCCTCAAAACCTCCCAAACCCTACACCATTTCTACACCACCACCTAGCACCACACCACCACCATTCATTCCAGCCACTTGGAGCTGTTTTCCAGAGCTAAGGAGCCACCAAACTTGGTCCAAGAGTTGCCAAAGATTTGGTCTTCAAGGGTAAGTCTTCTCCTCCCTCTTTCTTGCCTTATTTTGCTCAATATATTAGCCATACTTTCTTGCATATTTGGGCTCCGACCCTAACTGAAAATAGCATTATTTTGAGGTCTTTTTCATGTTTGTTTTAGGGTCCTTCCATGTTTAAGGTCTCTAGTTACCACTTGCTTCTTTATCTCTCTTGTATGCCTCTTTCTTGCATAGTATTTTAGGCCTATTTTTAAACTGTTTAGAGTTTGGTTATGAACTAAAAAGTGGCTTATTTTGAGCCCTTATTCAACATTTTTGAAGGGCTCTTCACTGTTTGAGGCTTCCTTTTGTCACTTGCCTCTTTATCCCTCTTTTGGCCTTATTTTTGCATGTTTTGTTAGCCCCTTGTGCTTGTATTTTTGGGCTCTGGTCCGAACTGTAAATAGCCTTCTCCATCACACCTCTTCATGTTTGATCAAGGGACCTTTGCTGTTTTAAGTTCCCTTTTTACTCTTTGTGTTTAAACCTCTTTTTAGGCCTTATTTTGCATAGTATTTTAAGCTTGCATATGCACTGTTTTGGGTTTGGTCACTAACTGTAAAACACCATGTTTTGGGCCCCTCTTCAACTTTGTTGAAGGGCCCTCCTCTGTTTGAGGCCAGAAACCATCACTTGCTTCTTTGTCTCCCATTTG